GAGGCGCCTGGATAACTGGCCCAATGCAGAGGTGACAGCTCAGGTGTGAGGGCTTGCGGCTTGTCTATTCACCTCTCTGCCTGTTCACAAAGGAGGGAACTGTGTGCTGGTGGGGGGGTGTCTTTGCTCCTAGCTAAAGGGGACCTTTCTTTCTATATCAAAAGCTATTCAGGTGAAAGAAGTTTCTATTCAAGGCAGAGGAGAGAAGATCTGAAGTCTTTGTATCTCTTTGTACTGAGGCTTTGGTATCCCTGCATATTCCCATCTGTTGTGGTTTCTTGTCGAATCTCGGCGTTGTAAACTGTTGCTTTACTGAAGTTCAGTGCGATCGGTCTTCAGATGAGCCCCAAATGGACCCTTCGCCGTCTTCATGGCCCATTGTTTTGGCACCCTGACTTCATGGGCCAGGTTTCAGGGACAGAAGAATGATGGTGCTCAAAAGTGTCTGCCCTTTCTTCAGTCTTCTCACCCCCACCCAAAAGCTTAAATATGTCTCCACTTTGACATGGACATGTCAAATGTTACTTAAAAAAAAAAAAAAAAAAAGATGTATTTATTTATGCATACCAGAACTGGAGTCCAGGCCAGAGGTGGGGGGGTGAGAGCATTCATCAGAGACAGAGTGGGGAGCAGGACAGGCAGATGTACTGACACACATTGCTGAGGGGTCCAGCAGGTGAGACAGGAGAGGTCTGCTGCGCCATGTGGGTCAGCTTCCTGGCTGGGGATCGAACTCATGCTGCGGTGGCTACAATAGCACCAAAATGCTGCACTTTGACCTCTTGTACCATGAGGGAGGCCCCTCAAATGTTACTTCCTAAGGGAAGGATCTTCTTACCTCTAAATCTGCCTTGTCCTTACAGTACATGTCATGTTATAGGGCAGGGAGAGGGGTACTCCAGAAACCCCCAAACCTACCTGCTCTAAGTAGGTCTGCCATTTGCCGCATGAAGACAAAGCATATAGACCTTTAATGGAAAGGAAGTTTCAGAGAATATAGTTTTCAAATCAAGCACACAAAGTTACCTGTCCCCTCATAGGGAAATATCCTGTCAAATAGGATTGGCTCAACAGAAGGCCTGAAAACCTGCCACAGTCTAAAGCACCTTCCAGCAGGGACCCATAGAAAAGTGTCAAAAGCAGCCAGACAAGTCTGGGAGGGAAAGAGCAAAATCAAAATCAAGATAAAAGCTGCTATTGTTAACCTCCCCAGGGGCCTCTCACCCACATCTGTTTCAACCAGGCCAGGACCAAAAAAGCAACTGCAGTTTCTTCACACATCTCTGTCTCTGCTCCGTGCCTCCTCCAGGCTGCCTTTTTCCTCCAGCCTGCTTCCTTTCTTCTGCAGTCTCCTCTCAGCTTCTTTTCCCTGCTCAGCTCTACTATCCTTCGGATGGGGCAGGGAACCTGGAACTTCCTTTTTTCATGGGGACCACCCTGTTATGGTCAGTTTATGATTATGTGCTTGTGCTGGTTTTTGATGAGTGTCTGTTTTATATCACTGCACTCTAGATTTGATAGCTATTGTTTCTCTCATATACATATACAGATATGAACACATATATACATATATTCATGTGAATATAAGTAAATTTGATAGATATTATATATATATTATCTTTCATTTTTAATTTCCAGAGAAGGAAACTTATACATGTTCATCACAATATTTTTTGAAGGCAGAATTTATGATGAATAAATTGGTATGATGAAATCTTCAAACTTTTCCTTTTAGAAGAGTCAGAGTTCTTTTATTTCCTCTCCCTTCATACTTGAACATAATGACAAGACTAAAAACATTGCTATTGTGTTGCCAATTTCATCTATCAAAAGATAATTATAGGGCTATGTTCAGGAAAAGGCCAACTTCTTTAGCAAGTGTCTGTGGGCCTATGTGATGCTGTTTACTGATCAGTAACATAGACTGAAACTTTCATACTGATGAAATTAAATTTAAAAACCAGATGAGAACACACACTGTGTCATTCAGTTTGTCTTTTTAGTTTTTTTTTTTTTTATATTGTATCATTTTTTTATTGAGGTACCATTGATTTACAACACTGCATAGGATTCAGGGGTCCAGGTGTTCACCTGTCCAGGTATATGTTCCATGCCACGCTCACCAACAAGGCATCCATACTTTCTACCACAGTCCATGAGGCTGTTCCCCCTTTTACCCTATCCCTCTGGTAGCCTGAGTCCTACAGGCAGGTTTCTAGGGTTTATTTTGGTTTAGTTTTGCCTGTTCCTTCATCTAATTTCTCTCATTACATACACGTGTGAAATCTCCTCCTGGCTTATTTTGCTTAGCAGATTTTGGACACTTACTGTATGATTCCACAGTTACAGTCTTTAATACTTTATACTTACTATCTCATCTAATTCCCCTACCCACTATAGAAAATATTTACTCTTTTTTCTTATTTTATAAATAAAGAAATTGAGACTTCCAATAGTTTAAAACACTGCCTCAAACTATTCAGTTGTTAATTGTCAGAGAAGAGATTTATACACAAATCGGCTTCTAATGGTCATATAATGTGGTTTACCCAGGGGAAGGACATATGATCATCTTTCCCAAAGGCAGCCAATTGTCTGGACAAGGGCAATATATATATTTTAATATTTATGTTTTATATAACTTTTACATAATGTTAGAACTGACCGTTTTCTGGTTGTGTTCTTCCTGGAACATTCAAACACTTGGACAGGTGACTTTGAATCATATTTTGAAAGGTGGTTTTACTCACCAACCAGCACTTCTAATAAAAAAAAAATCAGAACCTCAAAATTTTTATAGCTTATTTATTTTTTGAAGAGCTGTGAATGAAAAAGATATACACACCAGGGTCTAATTGAATTCATTTGTTTGATGAAGCGACGCCAAATGAAATATTTAACGTGTTTTCCTGAATCTAGCAATTATTGATGAGAATCTCTTGGGGCAGGCTGGACACAGGAAAAAATTACAATTATGGATCAAGAGTAGTATGACTCGCTTTACTCTCTGTCACTCATGAGAGCATTTAATGTCACTGTTTCTAGCATGTAGGTTACTTGAAAGGACTGACCTTTAGCAGCTACAAGAGGGTCTGAGTCAGAAGCTTTCGCTGCACCTACAGGGCCTCATTTTTTCTCCTTGACTCCTTCAAACTCAAGTCTCTTCTTCTGGGGTTTAGATTTACTAAAAATCCTTAGATTGGGGAACTGGAAGTTCAGAGGTCATTAATGCTTCTCTACCACTCAGAAAAAAAGCCAAAAATATTTAATTCTTTATAAAATGTTCAGTTTTTATATATGATATAAAATTATCTGTTTCATAGTAGAAGATTTCAATTTTAATAATGACTGGACACAACCAGGACTGATGATGTGCTTGAGCTCATTAAAAGGAACCATGCCAGGATTTATTTCCAAGTAGGCATCTACTTTGAATAATACACCTTGAATACACATTGTATGTGTTCTCCTGGGGTCTTAAAGTATCTGCATCTACTCTGAGGTGTCATTTTCAGGTCAATGGTTTGATGGGAACTCACCTTTTCTGCAGACTAGACCTTATTTTGAGACCCCATTTTCATGATGCCTCTGTGCATTTCCTCCCATTTCAGAAGATCATTCACCTTCCATGTGAAACTTCTTTACCTAAAGCCCTAAGCTCAGTTATCTTCTGTAACTGGCAGTATTCGGGGTAATGGGTCCCTTCCCCTTCAGACTTTTGCTTGAGAAAAATAATCCAAAACCTTGTGAAAACAAGTATTCTTTTGTAGTCATGACAACTATTAAAAACGAGACCTCTCCTGACTGGCCCGCTGCCCTCCTCAGCAGTGTATTTCAGTCAGTCAGTCTGCCTGTTCTGTTCTCCAATGTGTTTCTGGTGAATCCTCTCACCCCCTGCCCCACCACATGTCTGGCCTGTACCCCAGTTCTTGTATGCATAAATAAATAAAATCTTTAAAAAAAAAAGATAACTGTGATTTCCTTTCATTAATACTGCATATATTTGAACTACTTGGATGTAATAAACTGAGGGTGCATTTGAAGGTGTTACCAGTTCACCTTCACGTGTCTTAGTATGTTTAAGACACAACCCTTGGTTTTAGACTCCAGTCTACCTCCAAGAGTCTTTCCCAGTTCAGCTACCCAAGACAAATCCTGCCAGATTTCACTGTGGTCTCTCTCTCATCCTGCAGCCATTCCATCAGCAAATCATGTTGAATTTGCCTGCAGAATATATCCAGATTTCACTGGATTCGAATGCAGGAACAGGATACACCCCTTCAACTTGGGCCCTTTGGCCTCACTGTTCATATCGGAAAGCCCAAGACTCTCCATCTCTTCCATCTTAGCCCCTGATGATTGCCTCCCACCCCCATAGTCAAGCAGCTCCCATCTCCCCCTTGGGCCATGCTCTTTGCCCAGAACACACTTCCCAGATTGCTCATGGCTTACTCCCAGAACCCCTGCAGAATTCACCCGGTTGCCAGCTTCTAGGGAGGCTTCCTGGCTATTGCACCTGAGCTCCCTACTCAGCATTATTTTTCTGCAAACTGCTTACCATTATATATATATATGTTACTTATTAACTTTAAGCCTATTGTCTCTTCCTGCCCAGATACCTGTGTTCTGAATGGTCTGGCTATTTTTGTTTATATTATTAAAAATTGTCCTTAGTGCTAGAACACACTTAGCACATTTGTGGACTCAACAAATATTTGCTGACTATGAAGCCTGAAGTTGTTTATTGACTATACTTAATAGCAGGTCTGATGGATCAAAGCACTATGCAAGTGTTATTAAAATAAGCCTAAAGATACCATTAGGTTGGAATGCAGGGGTGTGAAATAATTTCTTCTTAATTACTAGACCTTTACATTTAAAGACATTTGTCAAAAACAACTCCTATTTCAGTTATAAACCATTGCTTTATATAATCATTGTAGCTGTAGTAAATATTTTATTGCAACTCTTCCCTTCTTTCTCCTGTTTTTGTTTTTCAGAAAAGAGGCACAGTTAGATGAAGAAGGACAGTTTCTTGTCAGAATAATATATGATGATTCTAAAACGTATGATTTGGTTGCTGCTGCAAGCAAAGTCCTCAGTAAGTTTACATGAGTTTCCTTCTTTGACTAAGTTATACATCAAAGCCCAAAGGAATGCTGGTCCAAGATCGCACTGCTCAGTGCGCAGGTTGTGCACTGCACCACTCTCACCCCCAGGGGGAGCTCTCACATTCACGTTAGGCTCAGGCTATGTTGTGTTCTTTATTCCTGTTAGAAGCTAACACAGATGGAGGAGCTCTCTGCCCCCGTTGACAGAAAATCATGTGTTCAGAGAGAGAGAGAGAAAAGTATTGATATTAGTATAGTAAGTTGTATTATAATAATAACAGTGTTATTATTATAGTTAAGTATACAGCATAGTTAAGCATACTAGAGCAGTTTGCAGAAAATATCTCCACATTTCCTTTGTGATCACAAGTTCTTATAGCTATTGGTAAAAGAGTAGAAATTTAGATCTACTTAAGACAAAGTTTATGAAAAGAAGGCAAATCTCACAAAAGAAAGCCTTCTTGGAAAAAAGTTCTCAAAACAGCTTCTCTTATTCTCAGAATGCTTAATTCGAAAGTAGGCTACAGTTAGAATAAAATAGAATGAGACATTTTAGCTTTGTCAAATATAGCTAGGAGAATAAATACTATAAACTGGCAGAATGTAATAATTGTAAATAAAGGTAAGTTGTTAATACAATAAAAATTCAGCCTCATAGTAAATCAAAATTGAAACAAATATGAAAAAAATTTTATATAAATTAGGCAATTTTAAAAAATTAAATCCATAATGTAATTCAGGGGCAGATGAAAGAATTTTTTTATATATGCATATATATGTATATATAGTACATATACATATATATGCATATATAATACATATATATATATTCCAATCTGAAGGTAAATCAAGATGAATTCTTTTGGAGGATAATTATGTGTCATCAGTCAAAATCTGTTTAAAAAGTGTCTGAACATTTTAGG